TCTGTCCCGCCTGTCCTGTGTGTGGCTCTGTCTGTCCCGCCTGTCCTGTGTGTGGCTCTTTCTGTCCCAGCACTGAGTTTTGAAAAGACCATTCTTTTCTCTATTCATCTTTGCTGCCTTGATTTCTTTCAGTGATGTTTTGTATTTTTCAGTGTTTTAAAAATTCCTGCTTTTATCATGAAGGTTTTAGAACTCACTAAAAGAGGTGTTATTTTCTGTGTAGCTTAGACATCATGCTCTGTTAAATACTTTGCCTGTGGAGGATGTACTATCATGTATACCAAGAGCAGTAACTGTTGTGTGTTTGAAACAGGTAAGGTTTCACAGTCCCAGAGTCAAAAAGACTTGGTGATGTCCCTTCACCTGTGGGTCTGCCAATCCTAGGTGGCTCATCCAGCCTCCATTCTAAGAGCCCAACCCCGTGAGGCGCCTTCCTCATCAAGTGAGCATAAAGCTAGGTCACCTGGCAAGGGTCTGCGTCACGAGGTGTGACCCGGAACGCCCGGGGGCCATTGACAGATGTGTAGCGAAGGACCCCAGCAGCGGGCCAGTGGATGCCTTGTTGATAAGATTGAAATCCCCACGGGAGTCAGGGCTGTTCCACACACCAAGCTGTTAGCAGATGCACAGTTCCACCTTTCCCCCAGCTTCTAGTTCTCCCTTCCATTTTTTACTGCCTCCCGTGACTAATGCTGCATGACGAGTTTACCAGTAAAAGGGCCGATCCTGCCCCTCGGCGGCACCCTGCACAGGCAGCCTGCGCCGCGACTCCCGTGTCTGTCGGGGTGGCGTTGCCCGAAGCAGCATGCCCTTACCCAGGCCTTCCATTTTGCTTTCTCTGGAGGCATCTAGTGTTAACATTTTTTGGTTTGTCCCTTCTGTGATACTTTGTGCACATTTAAACGATAGGAATAACTTCTTTTTTCATAAAGTAAAACACTTTTCTTCGCCCCCTTTAAAAAGTTAGTTTTTGGACAGTACAGTGCATGCCGTGGGGGCCCGAAACCACCCCCCACCTTGATGACTTGCTACGAGCACGCACAGGACTCGCTGAGTTCTAGCCACAGCTGTGAACGTTTTCAGCGGAAGGCAGCAGAGCAAAATGACCGGCAGGGCGAAGGACCAGCCCAGCGGGAGCCCGCGGTGCCAGGGAGTTCCATGGGCTCCGCGTTGTTCCCGAGTGGGCCGCGGCACGTGGCCAGCACCAGAGGAGGACTGCTCCCCTGAGAGGGCGTCTCGGTCGAGGGTGACCCAGCCTTCTGGGCGCCGGCCCTTGACTTAGGTGCTGGCTTATTTAAGCAACTGGAGGCCAAAGCCGCGAGGGAAACTGGGTGAGCTCGGGCTGGGTGGGTGAAGTAAAAGGTAAACCTCGCAGCCTGCGTTCCTGGGGCGTCACCTTAGAGCCGACATGCCGTTCGGTCTTCAAGATGCTTGCCCCTTTATTCCCGTGGGTCACTGGAGGACCCTTCTCCCTCTGCTGTCTCTTCCAGACGCTGTGTTCCTGATACTGTACAAAGAGCTGTACTACAGGCACATATACGCCAAAGTCAGCGTGAGTGTCCGCGCGGCCCCGCCGCCCCGCCCCGCCGCGCTCAGCAGCTGCCCCTTCCCTTCTCTGCACCCCGTGTTCTCGGCCGAGCGTGTCCCAAGCGGCCTCCTGCCTCTGCGCGTCTCTGGGCCTGGCGCCCTCTAGGCCACGTGAGCTGTGCGGCGTGGCGCTCGGCCCCACACCCCAGCCTTCGGGCACCGCGCCGAGGGGGGCTTTGCTGAGCGCCTTCCCTCGGGCTGCTCCACACCAGCCTCGCAGGGGGCCGTTGGGGCTGCCGCAGCGATGTCTGGCGCTGCGGGGGAGAGCGCCTCGGGCCTGTGGGCGCCGCTGTCCTCCCGCTCGCCCGAGCGCGGTGCGTCTGGGAGAGGGCCCTTCTCGCGCCTGTCCTCGGGCGTGGCGGGCCGAGTAAAGCACGTGTAGGTGAACGTCTGTCCTGATGTCTCTGTTCTCTCTACAGGGGGGCCCCTCCTTGGAGCAGAGGTTTGAATCCTACTACAACTACTGCAATCTCTTCAACTACATTCTCAGTGAGTCCAGGCGTGGCGGGGGCGGGGCTTTGTGGTCAGCAGAGGGAGGCTCCCCTGCTGCGTGCCGTCACTGCGCTGACGCGGCCGCCTGGTCCCTGCAGATGCCGACGGCCCTGCTCCGCTCGAGCTGCCCAACCAGTGGCTCTGGGACATCATCGATGAGTTCATCTACCAGGTACTTGATGGACCTTGGCACGATTTGAAATAATCGGTCGAAGCAGGGAGCACTTGTTGCCATTTTTTCTGTTGCTAACAAGATACCGGGTATAAAAATGTCCTCGTGGTGCCAAGTGTTCCACGGTGGTGGTTTCCCTGCCGTGGTTTTCTGGAGTCAGTGATACCTGAGGATTCCAGATGTTGGGAATCAGGTGAGTTGAGCTCGGGCTTTGCCACGTTCTTACCTGGCCTTGAGAGGTAACGTGGCAGAGGAAACAGCCTTCACTCGGGCTGCCTCTGTTCTTAACGGTGACCTGCTGCTGGGGTTTTCAGACCTCACTTTCTCACCTGGGCAGCATGCTCTGCCTCTCCGCTGAGAGTGGTTACCTGAGTAGATGCCAGATGGGATTAAAGTAGAACATTGTCAAAACAGAACTATTGTTCCCTCGAGGGCTCTCGCTGAAGTTCCGCGAAGAACTGCATGTGGCGGTAAGCGTGGCAGGGAGGAGGCCAGGTGTGGCTAGCCACTAGCCCTGCACCTTCAGCAC